AGCATTACGGGCGGGGTATCTTCAGTATTCTGGAATTAAATTAGCATCCCACTTTGGGGTTAGGTTGCACACAAGCTGATTCTGTGGGCAGTGCCAACGGCCGATTTCCCTGCGAATGGGGCTAATGCCACCTTGACAGACATCCCACCTGTCTTAGAGAAGCCCTGCACCCCCGCAGTAGCTCAGGCTTGCCTTCCTCCTCGTTCTGATAGGATTGGACGTTAAAACTGTCCGCGTCCTCCAAGATGGCATTTCTGGAGTTGTCGCTTATGCCCGGTGCCAGCACAAGCAGAAGTGATCTGGGTAGGTTTCGTCGTTACTGAATGGGGCTTGTCGGGGGCTAACCTCCACCTGCAGGGACGGAAATCCTCAGGAGGTTACGCTTCACGTTAATCCGTCCTACGGTGGTGGGATTTATTTCTCACTGTAAAAATCTCCAGGGAACATTCCAGACCGTTCCCAGTCACTGCGCCCCTTAATAACGTGACTGTGGAACAAGCATCCGGACGGGCGTGAGCAGTCTGCACCGTATCCCGACCTACTCGGGGAGAGCCGCCTCGCTCGGGACCAGGGTGAGCAGACCAGGGTGCCGCGGTGACGAGCGCTCTGTGCTTATCCCGGTGTCGGGCTGAAGGGGACGCGACGTCGCGGTCGTCTCCCGATTACCTTCAGGATGGAAGCCAAACTGGGAAAGCCACTGGGCACTTCTGTCTCTCCACGGGTGGGTTCCCTTCCGGTTCTGGTCGACTTCGGTTCAAGGTGACTTCCGGTTTAAGATGGCCCACGGAGCCCAGAAATCTTTCCCTTCTGATTTCAAGCACGTAGAAGTGAGAGAAAATAAAGAGGAAAAACATAGCTGTGCTCAAAAACAAGCCGGAGTCTTTTATCTATGTGGGACAGAATGGTGTCCGTGAAAGAAGGGTCAGGCTGAAGCTTATGGCGACAAGTACAGCCAGACTCCTGCCAGCCTCCAGGAGCAGAGACGAGTCAGACCCAACGGCAAGGTCTAGGATCTTGGTGTCCATGAGGGACTAGGGACTGGACAGGTGCCCCCTGCCTTAAAATTGGGTTCATGTTCAGAGGATCTTGAATCCCCATCACCACGTCAGGCAAAGGGCTCCAGCCCAAATGGCAGCATGAGACCCAGCTTCCAAGTGCCCAGGACATTGCTCCCGGCCACACCAACAGGAGTCTCTCATGACCCAGGACACGTGCAGGGAAGACGCTTACAGCTAAGAGTCACAAGAACCTGCAGGAACTGTCCCCTAAAAATGAGAACACCACCTTAGTACACATAAGCACTTAAATCCAAAGAAATATAAATCAGTAGGGAAAGCAGAAAATGACATTTTAGGTTTTAAAAAATTATCAATGTGATAACGGAGCTTATAGCTATAGGAGTAGATTATCCTGAAAAGGAGTTAATTAGGAGTTTTAGAAATTAAAATATAATTACTTGAAAATTTTAAATTCAGTAGCAGGATGAAAGAGCTATCTAGGTAATGCTAAAAAATTGATACAGTGGAAAATCAAACTGAAGAAACCATGCAAATGCCCCCAAAGATATAAAAATGTGGAAAACAGGGGCGCCTGGGTGGCTCAGTGGGTTAAGCCTCTGCCTTTGGCTCAGGTCATGATCTCAGGGTCCTGGGATCGAGTTCCGCACCGGGCTCTCTGCTCAGTGGAGAACCGGCTTCCTCCTCTGTCTCTCTCTCTGCCTGCCTCTCTGCCTACTTGTGATCTCTCTCTGTGAAATAAATAAATAAAATCTTTAAAAAAAAATGTGGATAACATGAAAGGAAAAGCCAGCCCTGTGGAGCTTGGACCCAGCAGGTCCGCCTGCTCCCTGGAAGGGGGGAGTCGAGTGCAGGACGAGCAGTACTGAAGGAGATCATTGCTGCCAATGTTCCTGAGATGGGGACTGACAGTGTTACTGGCTGGTAAGCATAATTTTTAAAGAAAAGCCGCAAGTGGGCATTGTCTTTTTTTTCTTTTTTTAAAGCAGGCTCCACACCCAGCATGGAGCCCAACTCAGAGCTTGAACTCAGGACCCTGAGTTCAAGACCTGAGCTGAGATCGAGAGTCGGGCACTGCCCTGAGCCAGCCAGACACCCACAAGTGGATGTTTTTTAATGAAATTCCAGAACATCCAACGTAATGAGAGGCTCTTCCTTCATCTCTGGACCTTTCCCACTCACACTTTCTCCCACCCCAACACCAAAACTCACAATTTCCTGAGAATGCTGTGTCTGCTGACGCCTTCCTGTTCTTGCATTCCTTCTAGCTGGAATGTTCTTCTTGTATCTCTTTTACCTTGGCTAGCAGGACCTTTCCTCGGGGAGTTCTTTCCACGATTCCCCCACTTCTTTCTTCCCAGTCACCGCCCGCCCTGCCGCTCTCGGTCCGGACGGACGCTGTTGCAACACAATCATGCTTTCCATTTGGCTCCCCTGCTCCCTGAGCTCAAGGGTCTTCAGCTGGATTCTCAGGGCCCAGAAGGGTTCCCGGAGCACAGCGGTCACGCATGCTTGTCACCACCTCAAAGGATTTGTGAAATGCATCGAAGTACAAATCAGTGATTTCGTTAGATAGCAATTTAATATGGGAACAAGTCACTGAGGCCCAGAGAGGCCAATGTGAGCATCTTGAGGAGACAGCTGATTGTTGACAGTCAAGTGTCCTGGCTTGAAGACCGCTCTTTGCAGCATATATCATAATGCCTCCACCACAAACTGTCCGTATTTGAAAGTCATGTGTTTTTTTAAAATAGTTTTAAAAAACAATGTAATAGGTTTTTTTTTAAAGACGTTTTTACATTACCAGAACAGTTGTTTGTAAAGAGATTTTCAGAAAGTGAATAAATTACCTTTTTCATCTTTTACCCAAAGTTTGTTGAAATGGCAAGCTTACACTCTTTTCTCATTACATGCATGGATAGCTCAAGAAGTGAGCTAGAATCTTCCTTGAATAGTGAAGTTTACTCAGATAAAATTTACGTTTTAATAGAACTGTTTATTTTCTGATCTTATGCTGAGGAGTGCTCAGAAATGTTTATACTCTGTTCTTGTTTTATTTTATTTATCTTATTTTTATTGAAATATATTTGACACATGCCATTGTGTAAGTTTGAATGTACAACATGCTGATTTCATATATTTATATATATCAGGATGATTGCTTTTGGGGGGTTAGCTAATGCCTTTATCGGGTCACATAATTCTCATTTCCTTTTTTAGTGGGAATAATTAAGATCTAATCTCTTAGCGAATTTGACATTTATAATACAGCATTGTTGTCTGTGATCGTTATATTGTCTATTCGATCTCTAGGACTTATTTTTCAACTAGTTGCCAATAGATTTCTTAATTACTCGATCACAGTATAACTGCACTACATCGATGTGTAGTTATCTTTCAAATGTTCATTTACTGTGTGTTTTCCACACTGACACGCAACATGTCTGAAGCTCTGTGTGCATTTTCCTGGGGATGGAAAGCTGCAGGTGGAAAGGTCCTACGGGGGAATTGGTTTGGCTTGACAGATTTTGTGTAGCTCCTGGGAGAGCCCCCCACAGTCAGGTCTAACCAGAAGGTCACTTTGAAAGGTATCGCTCTGTAATTTTCAAAAGACTTTTCCACACATTAATCCTTTTTGATATTCAAGAAATCAGTCAATGCACACGGTAACACGTGACCCTTCCGACAACTTCAATAGTCGATAACATCCAGAGGGGCCAAAAGAAAGAAACCATATGGGAGATGTAATAAAATCCGTGCACGGGAATCCTACAAGGAGCTCCCAGAGTGCTTATTTATGTTATTGCGCCATCCAGCAAAAATGCTCATTGTCTTCCCCACCTGCCATAGATTTTGAAACAGAAAATTAAAAGAGACAAAGGGTCCTGTGGAGGGCAAGTTCTCTGAGACCAAGAACTGGAAGCTGGCTCCACAGGCAGACACTGAATGAGCAACAGGCGTAACGACCAAACATCAAAATGTAAAAACAACACGGATCTGAAACCCCGTCACGTAGGCTGCACACAGACCTACACACCTTGATTAGCACCGAGGAGATCCCCGCCCAGCAGCCCAGCACAGAGCTGATGAAATGAGGACCCCGAGTCTTCAAGAGAGGTGCCCTGACAGCTACCATCTTCTGTTCTAGAAGGACGACGTGCGTCAGAAATAGTGAATAATGTTATGGATATATAGCAAAAGTGAGAGCTGTCTGACGTACCACCCTTGCATGTTTACTCTGTTAGCTAAAACCCCAGAAGCTTCCACCTTGGGAAATAGAACAGACATGGTCAAGTTTCTACAGGCTCACCCTCGGTGCCATTAACTAAACATCTCCTCTTCGGATGGATGTGAGATTGGTACCTTCGAGGCTCACCCCAGGTGCTTTCTCCCAGGGGGGCTGATGGAGATGATGCCAGATGGGAACCTGGTCGTTGGCACACAGACACGTGAGGTGTGATTCTATTTGAACAGGAACTGATTCCCAGCCTAGAGAGAGCCAGGGACGAGTGAGGCATATGGAGAGTCGGTACCTATGGGACCGTCACTCACCGTTCCATCCCCAGCATCCAACGTGCTGCTGAGAGTTGGCCTGTGGACTAGATGCGCCATGAGTGATTGACTACATCACACCATGGGGATCCAGTCTGGACATCCACTGTGTTTGCTTTCTTGCCCATTTCCACCTTGTTGTTCATAAATCAGTCTTGAAATGTTTACCTCTGTTCCGAAGAAATACACTCACGTATGTGTTTAAGTAGAGGGGGAGAACGGATACCATTTTACTGGGCCATGATCCCCTCACCACAGTTTTTGATATTTTAATTGAAAGCAAAAATCATGGCTTTTGTTCAGCCTTATGTTATGTAGAGGAAGTGTGTACTTCACCATGGGTACCATTTCTGAATGGCGACCCCAGTGTTTTATGGTCCTCTCTTTTATCCCAAAAGAAAAGATTTAACTATTGACCGTGTTCTTTTCTAGCGGAAGATAACAGTCTGTCTCAAAAGAAGAAGGTCACAGTGGAAGATCTTTTCAGCGATGATTTCAAAATTCACGACCCCGAGGCTAAGTGGATAAGTGGTAAGTCCGGAGACCTGCATGCGCATGGGAAGCCACTCTTCCACAGTTTGGGTTTGGCCTGTTGCCTCTCATGTTCTCTCTTCGGCTGTGGAAGTGGATGCCCAGAGCTCTTGCTGCGATAATCACCTTATTATCATTCTAAGAAAATATGGATCTGGTAAAATGGGGCTGTTCCTTAGTGAGAAATGGGCTCTCAGTGTCACCTCCCCAAATCATTATTTCTCAGACAGAGATGTGAGCCGTTGCTAAGCAACAGGACCAGGCAGAGACACAGCTGAGCTTCCCTCCCTCTCCCTGTTCTTTCTTCCCTTTTGTACGGCCCTGGCTTTCACTCCCCGCTGCATAGAGGGGCCAAAAGGACCTCCAAGGCTTCTTCTCAAAAGCCATCAAATGAATGAAACTCGAGCCTGGTGCACATTTGAGGATAAATTTATTTTCCTCTTGCACTTTAGTCTGGATATAATCTACTTTTCTGGTTTGGGGGGATTTTTAAAACAAAACAAAACAGGGTTGAAGGCCAAAGGCAGTATGTTCATGATGTATTTTTTTTGGTCTAGGACATAATCCATATCATCCACTTGTAGTTGAACTAATTCTCAGGTGTGGTCATGGGAGAAAAGGTGTGATTGAATGCATGCCCTCCTCTGCAGGCTTTGGTGCCTCTCCGCTAGGTAGTTCGGCCAGTGCACCTCTCCTATTAGCTCCATGAATGTGGGATGCCCTTGAAAAGGAATCCCCAGGTCAGAGAACCTTTATTGTGGAATGCTGGAGGTCTAGTTCAAATCCTGACTTTCATAATAAATGAGGCCCAGAGAGGTTACGTGATATTTTTGAGGCCACACAGCTTGCTGGTGGTGCACATGTAGTTGGAAGCCTGTCTCCTGACTTCCCATTTAGTGTCTTCCCACGACTGTCTTGTTGGGTGACTGTGTTTTTGTATTTTCTTCCTTCTGAAATGCAGCTCATGCTTCACAAACTCTCAAACACCAAATAGCAATGACGTTTTGCCGTTCGTCTCCTACTAGGGCAGTGGCTTCTCTTTTGTGCTCAACTGTGGCCTCAGTATTCATTTCTGGTTCTTATATTCACTTATTTAAAAATGAGAGAGGGGCGCCTGGGTGGCTCAGTGGTTAAAGCCTCTGCCTTCGGCTCAGGTCATGATCCCAGGGTCCTGGGATCGAGTCCCACATCGGGCTCTCTGCTCAGCAGGGAGCCTGCCTCCTCCTTTCTGCCTCTCTGCCTACTTGTGATCTGTCAAATAAATTTAAAAAAAAAATCTTTAAAAAAAATAAATAAATAAAAAATAAAAAAATAAAAAATAAAAATGAGAGAAGATGGATCTCTGAAGGAATGTACTTTATACAAAGGAATTAGGGAGAAATAGGATCCGTGTGCTGGGGACAGCTGTTGGGGGGTGCGTGGTGCACAGAAATCCAGGACACGGAGAGAGCCAAGGTCTTTTGTTTGATGGAGGAAGTGATGTTACCTTTCGTGTTGAGGGAGACTTAACACCTGCTCTCAGTTTGTGTTAACCCCTTGCATAGGCAGGAGGAAAGTACCAAGAGTATACTCTGGGCTCAGTCTTGGGAATGAAAGGTGATTAGCCTCTTCTTAAAGATTGCGAAGTCATATTCTAGAAACAGAGCTAACCATGAGTGACCAGACATTTCGAAGATGCTGTATAAAGCCCAGTCTTTAAGAGGTGCTGGGTTTACTAATTAGAGAAAGCAGAGAATAGACCCCTGGGGAGTGTAAGGTTAGAACGTTAGTCCGTCTAAACCTTCGTGAAGAAAAGAACGCAGAGAGAAAAAGAGAGGAGAGAAGGGAGGGGGAGGGGAGGAAACCTGGTCGAGTGGCAGAATCTAGGGATAAAACAAATTGGACACAAGGAACACTGAACCATAGCTACGGGGGTCAGAGCGAGTCCAAGGAAGCCCTGAAAAGACTCATGAAGTGCTAAAATAACATTCCTATGTCTGTTAGAATGTCCATAGTGGCAGACTGGGTCTAAGTCAGCATTCCATAAGCAAAAAATAAAATGTAAAATAAACAGAGATCTGGAGTCACAAAGCACTGGTAAGTTTCTGCTGGAACTGTGTTGGTCGTAAGGAGCTTGTATCTCATGATCGACTTCATGCTGCAGAGGAGTGGAGCTGGGCCAGAGGCGGGCTGGCTCTCTGGCCAGGGGAAACAAGCCCAAATTTCTTTATCCACAAAGCTGGGAGTTAATACGAGCAATTGAGAAATGGCCTCCTGCCCGGCAGAAAATGCCGCGCCTGCCTGTTCGGCAGGTTAATTCTACTCATGAGGACAACCTGCAATTCTAAACGAAGTAAGTACCTTCAGTGCCCGGGAGCTTTCTAAGAAGGACTATCCCTTTGCAAATGTAGACATACAATGTGACATTTTGCTACAAAGTAACTGGTAGTCAAGTTTCTCCAAAGACTAGGCTCCACCCAGAGGGGAAGGGAACCTGGTTGTTTTTCTCCCAACACTCCTCTTAGCTGTCCTCCCACTGTTCTCTCATGCATTCTTCTTCCTGATCAATCCCTTTCTCTCCCTAAAATGTAATAGCTTGAAATGGATGAAGTGGCTTTGCACTGGTTAATTGAGTGCTTGTAAGTGATTTTCCACAAATACCATAAAGAATTCATTCATTTCTTTAATATCACAAGTCTAAATGTGAAGATCCAGGGAAGGTTTCCCACAGTCAGAGGATTATCGAAAGATGGGGAGCTGGGTGTGCTTTAGAAATTATCAGAGCATTGCTTTTTCAGTTAGTGTTTATTGTGTGCCCCACAGTGCAGCCGGCAAACGATACAGTGCTGGGCCCAGGGAAGTGTTTCTTACTGGTAGCCTTGGGAGTCACCTCCATCATGACCATCTGCCATGCCTTCTATCACCATGAGTCTCCTTTCTCCTCCTCTTCTTCCTTACTCCTCTGTCTGTTCCTACTCTCTTCTTCATCGTCATCATCAACATCATCATCACCATCATGATCATTGCCACCACCATCATCATCACCATCACCATTATCACCGTCATTACCACCACCATCAACATCACATCACATCATTGTCGCATCATATCGCATCATCAATACTACCATCATCACAACCATCATCATCATTTACCACCACCACCGTCATTACCATCACCATGATCACCATGATCACCACCATCACCAGCATTATCAGCATCACCATCAATCACCATCATCACCGTCACCACCACCATCACCATCACCAGCATCACCATCATCATCACCGTCACCACCACCACCATCATCACCATTACCATCATCATCACCATCATCACCGTCACCACCACCACCACCACCACCATCACCATCACCAGCATCACCATCATCACCATCACATCACCACCATCATTGTAACCTGCTGGGGGTTTCCTGTATCTTATGTTCTAGGATAAGTTCTTTGTACCTATTAAATAATTTAATTCTCACCACCACCATTATTCCCATTTTACAGATGAGGAAACTGAGACTTATGCTGTTCAAATAACTTGACCAATATCACAGTTAGTAAGTAGCAAGATTTGGACTTGAACCTACGTCTCTTTGGTCTTTATAAGCTGTGCTACATTGGATAGAACCCAGGATTCTGGTATCCAGCCAGTTTCTTTCACAACCTCACTAGCTACGTAGTGTGTCTTACCCAAAACTATAGATTGCGAATATTTCAGAATTATTGTCATCCCTTAAATTCTCTATTTTAGCTTCCCTTATCCCCATGATGTCAAGCTAACAGAATACCTAAGTGATAAAGAAAGTGGAGTAATTCCCCATGGAGAAAGAGACATGATTTGGTATTAGTATTATTATTATTATATAATATTACTAATATTAATATTATTTTTATTGCACATTAACCACTAAAGATACCAAGTGTATCTTCGGTTTAATATTGGAGTTAATAGTCTAGAACATGATACACTGTATCAGGAGTAACCTATTGGGCTAAATTTCTCCTCACCCATTCATTCTAATCTAGAGACTTGTTCTAATCTAATCTAATCTTTCCTGAAAATGATTGGTGTAACAACCTTCATACTCTGCCCTCACAGACTGGTTGCAACCAGATGAGGTCTGTACCTCAGGACAATGACTCACTGAGCACCCCCTACAGAGAAGGAGGTCCACACTCCCTCAAACTGGCCCCAGTGCCGTGTCTCCACACACTGGCTCAGTGGAAGGAACCCTTCCATCTTTTCCGGTAACCACACTGCACTTCTCAGCCTCGTGGATCCCTTGAGGTGCTGTGCTGGGATTCCATGATGTGAGGGGGTCAGGCTCTCACCCCAGTTTCACTGACACGCCTCCATGTGGTCATCGCTGACCTCCAGGTAGCTGCCTTGCACGGTCACTTCTCCGACCTCATCTTAATTTACCTGTCAACTGGTTGCTCCCTTCACCTGGGTGAAACTTCCCCCTGACCTATAGGTCATTATACTCCCTGGGCTCTATTTTGACATCGGGTGGGGTGGGGGTGGGGGGGGCTTCTTCTCAGGCTCTCCTACTGCTTCTTGCTCTTCTCCTTGACCTTTCAGGGTGGTGGGTCCCAGGGCTCAGCCCCTGGTCCCTCCCACTGAATATCTGCCTTCCTCCCTCAGGGTTTCATCGAGTTTCATGATGTTAAGTATCCTCCATCTACAGACGACTCCTAAATTTGGGTTTCCACGCTGCATTTTCCCAGAATTCTTAGCTGTCTCATAGACCTCACAACCTTAAGCTTAAAAGCTCCAAATCCGAGTTCTTGATCAACACGCCCCCCAACACACACAAAGCAAAAACCAAAAGAATAACACCTGCCCTCGCCACTGCTTCTCCCAGTCCCCTTCATGGACATCCATTCTTCTGGCAGAACAGGCTAGAAAGCTTGGAGGCTCCTTTGCTCTGCTCAGTCTCTTGTTCCTCGTATCTGCTCCATCGCAGACGCCTACAGCCCCACCCAGCATGCTTAGCGCCTGCCCACCCA